TCCCTGCCATGGCAGGGGGTCGGACTAGATGATCTGCCCAGGTCCCTTCCGACCCTAGAAACTATGAAACTATGAAACATACAGATTTCGTAAGTGATGCTAGAGAATGGAAAATTCTGTGCCAGATCCCAGACCTTCACTTAGTCGGGGAACTGGAAGGGGACTCTAAGCCAGGGGTTGTCAACGGGACGTCTGCGTACACCTGGGGGTACTTGGATTGGTCCTAGGGGGCATGGGCAGGTGGGGATGGAGTGCCACCACATCCCAGGAGCAGGGCCGGGGTGGGGCGAGGGCAGCACCGGTACCGCCACACACCAGCCTGGTGAGCTTCCTTGCCTTGCCCTGGCCCTGCTCCTGGGAGGTAGAGGCGCTCCGTCCCCACCTACCCGCGTGTCATCCCTGCCTCCCTGCTCCGTGTCTGGCCATGCGCTACCCCCACACTGCTTGGCGTTCGGCCGCATGCTACTCCCTCCCCCACAGCTCAGCATCTGGCCACCGGGGGTACTTAGACTAAAAAAGGGTGAAAACTACTGCTCTAAGCCATTCTTCTGCTCCTCTTAATCTTGAATCTATTCTGTCCCTGATGTAACTTAAAGCAGTTCTAGGTAATATTGTAGGAGTGGTCCCAAGAAAAAACCCTCCTCTTTCTTCAGTGTTCCCTGATGCATCCCATATCAGGGAAGGGGCAGATGCTTCAGAGATGCAAGCTGTCTTTGAACCACTTGGGAATTCCCTGGCCACTGGGCCTTTTTTCACAGAATGAAGCAAGAAATTGATCATGCAAATGCATAACTAATTATGCACATAATTATGACTGAACACACAAAAACTGGATATCTAATCAGCCTTTTGTTCCTGCAAAAAACTATTTTGTATATACAATCCATAAAATTGCATGCAGAGATAATGTATGCAATTCCACTTATGTTTGGCAAGCCAGACATTTGGGGAAGCAGGAATAAAGCATTTTTAAAATATCATTTTCAAGTCCTCTGCAATAGACATATTCTGGATTTACCTTTGAATTTAATATTTTAAATCAAACTATTGTACCTGGTTCTATTTCTGATAATCATCTATGCTCTTTCAAGCCGTTTATAACCACAGAGCTTTCATTCTCCCTTCTCTTTGATCACTCCTTATTCACAACCTCTTTCGTCCCTCTGCTCTTTCCACCCAGCCTGCTTTCTTCCCCTGATCCCTTCAGTAACTTGGTTAAACTTTGCAGTCACACTCAATGTCACCTTCTAATAATGGTATAATTACTCCCCAGATGCACCTCTGGACTTCATTTTTCCTTTTTGTTCCTGATTCTCCGAGGAAATGACAGAAGATGAAAGGACCAACTAGTACAGGGGTGGAGGCCAGATCCACTTGTATGTCTCAAACTTCTGATGTCTGCCTGTGTACCTGAATACATCCAGTCCTTTGTTGTGTTCTGGCAGCTGGGAGAGAACCTGCCACTCTCCTGTGTCCGCTAGATAATCCTCTGAATTAGAAAGAGGCCTCCGCTAGATCTTAGAACAAATTCATAGTTTTCCTCCAGATGAATTCTATACCAGGACCTGTTGCTTTCTGTTCTAGCCCACCACGGAGGTCCTCTTTCTTTCCTTCTACTTCTCTCCTTGGTTTTGTAAGTTTTCACTCATACTTGACAAGCCCTATTACAGTGCAAGAAAGTCACCTGTGATGTGTCCGTGCATGGCTTCTGCTGCCACTACTAACATTATTAACTCCCTTAGTTTCTCAAGAGGAGATTTTGCATTGTTGGCAAATGGCGAGGCTGCCCCAAGGATCCTTACGGAACAGGGATTTGGTTGTTTTTTGTTTTTTAAATGGTTCCTTGTTAGGTCTGGATCACCAACACCTCTTGAGAGAATTTGTGCCAAGCCTCAAAGGAGACTCCTAACATAAGGTAATAAATAGTGTGTATGTGAACTACTGCCAGTCTGAACTAAAGGAAGTCAAATGGATATTTCAGACCCTCCATCCCTTATGGCTAAGGGTCCCTTCTTTTTCAGCTGGTAGCAGACTCTACTCTTGGGGCAGAAGAATGTGAAGTCTGTCCCTTCTATCACTGTGAAGCTCTGTCAAGCTTAGTCACTAAATTATTTATAGTATGGCTGATAAAATACTTCAGTCTGATTTCCCTCTCCTGCATGCACCAGACTGGACCAAGCCTTTGAAAACATGCATACCTAAACATGCATTCAGGGAACAAGCCTGAACTGGTTCTCAGGAGCAGCATGCAGGATTAAAAAGGTATTTCATTTTTCTAACTTCTATAGGAATTATGTCCAGGCAGAACTGATGCATCTCTCTACTGCAAGGTAGGTAAATTCTATAGGAAGGACAGGTTTCAATCTGCATTAAAAAGCCAGTCATATAACCACTCTGCAAAGAATCTGCCACCGCTCAAGAAATGGAAAGAATTTGCAAGAGGTAGTTTAGAGTTAATGTCTCTTGAATCATTCAGCTTCTTTCTACATGTTTTGCTCAATGTTTGTGGTGTGAAAAACATTCCAGTTGCCAACAATGCAACTGAACCACTTGCCCAGAGCTTGTTTTGAGAGGGGTGGAAAATCATCCAAGAGAAATAGGCACAATTAAATCTCATTTTTCGCTTGCTGCCCTGGTCTCTATAACAGATCAAAGTAGGTGAATAATGATGCAGAGTTTGCTCCAGAAATGACTCTCAGTAATGACCCAGTGAAAGAGGACAAGTATGGAATTATTTCAATCCAATTCATAGTTGTCTATCTTCTGACATTGCAACTTTGAGCTCAAAACTGTTCTCCTTAAGTGTTTGGGTATAAAATCGCTTCCATAAAGAAAAAGAAGACTGCAGCATGACATTTCCTACAAAACAAAACTGGGTGGCTATAAAGATTCAAGGACATTTTCTTTTTTAGAATTTGGTGCAGACAGTGAATGGATTTCCACATAATTTATCATCTCATCATTAAGATAGAGCCATTCTGATCTGGTGAAACACCCCTAACCTAACTCCTTAGGGAGATAAGATTTACTGGATCTCTAATGAAGTAGGCATATCCATCCACTACTATGCGTCTGGGGGTCAATTGCTCAGCCAGTCTTTTTTTTTTTAAATGTTGTCCTTCTGCCCTTCCAGATATCAAAATACTAAAAAATAAAAGCAGTTCTGTATATAATATCAAGTCATTTAGGTGTCTCCCTTACTTCTCTTCTGTCCCATTACATGAAATATCTTGTATCACAAATATATAAAGGCACTGGGAGTTAGGTTCTTAAATCTAAGTTAAGCAACTAAATGCCTTCATGGGTAATTTTCCTGTAGAATGAAGCACACACAATTGTGTGTGTTTCAAAGCTGCTGTTACTGAGAAATAAGATCAAGGGAGTAAGTCAATGTAGTAACTGGTAGAGAAGTGCAGCCCCTAGATGTAGGGTATAATTAGTAATATTTATGCTTATCAGATCACCCATTTTCCACAGAGTCTACTTATACCTATACTTTGCAAAAATAGACTTATCAATTAACACAACTAACACAGTGGGAGCAGCTAAAAAGATCTAGCAGGATTTTAATCAAAGACCTTGTGAAAAACAAGCAAATATTTCCTCGGATACATAACAATTATGTGTTACTGGCATGGTTGCCATATGTTCACCTGCACTCAAATTGGTTTCAACTGACACAAATTGCAAGATGTTTTTAAAATCAATCAAAGGCTTACAAAGAGGTCAACATGGAGAAGGGGGACTCAAAGGCTGTCTGTTGTGGGTGCGTGAGTTGGGTAGTGGCTAAGAAGTGGAAAGGCAGAAAAAGGAAAGCAAAGATTACTAGCTTTACTAAGAGTCACTGGTTTTGCAAAAGACCCTAAGGTAGGAGTAAGACTCAGCTTGGACCACTCTTATTTCATTCATGTTGATCAATGCTAAGATAGTGCTAAAAATAGCGCTGCACTGCCATTGTTACACATACCTCAACAATATGCCTTGGCATGCCAGATGCTCAAACACTATTACTTGCCAACCACTAAGGATTGGACAGCTGATGTGCCAACAGTTCACAAAATACAGGCTGACCTGGTGGCAATGACTTTGGAATTTAATATGGCCATCTAACCAGCTTGTAGGCAAGGACATTCCTCCTTAGCAGCTCTCAAGCTGGTCTTTTCAATCTAATTTTCCATCCATATTAAATGTAGGTGCAGACTAGAGCTTTCTTCACAAGAAACCATTCCAGACAATGCCCTGAATGGGAGAGGATCATTCAGGTATACTAATTAACTCATCTACAGCATACTCATAGTGACTTAACTTGCTAGATCCTAGATAAACACATTGTCCCTTGGCTCTAACGTCACTCAAGTTATTTATGTGAAATCCAAGCAGCAGCTTCCAGTGATGGAAAATTGACTTTCACCTTAGAGTTGTATGAAGCAAAACTGGGTGTTTTACCCAGCAGAAGTATGCAAAGGATGCAGTTTAACTGAAAAAATCCCAACTCCCTTCATGAATATCTATAAATCCATGTTCTTTAGACCAAAACCATTGTGCATCCCGGCTTTCTAAGCCCTCCTAATTTAATGCCTCACATTTATTTTGAAATACTGTAGCAGAACAGCTTCAAAAGAATTACAGTGGAATTATTACACATTGAGAAATGATGGTGGTTTGGGGGTCTTCTGGCCTAATTAAATTCCATTTTGTTCAGTCATCCTCAAACGAAACTTCTATTTTCAAAGGGTTTTGTGAACAGAGTGCTGATGAAAGAGAATTTATAGTATTTATGGGGCTACAGTATAAATGGAATTTAATAGCCAAGTGTTGGCAGGGAACTGTCTAATATTTATCAAGTACTGATTAGCGACCAAGGATTTCTGGTGGGATAATGAGCCCCAGACTGGCTCCTTTCCAGTTTTTGACACTGGCACCAAGGTACATCTGCTAATTGCTAGAGGAATACATACATTAACTGAACTTCAGCTAATTAGTGGAGATTTAACTGAATCACTGAAGTTTATGCCTTTGAATTTTACAAAAATATCAAAAGTCAGATAATCACCACAGGCACTTAAGGTGTATCTGAAGCTTACCTTATACAAATGAAAGAATAACTGTGTAGCCAAACTAGAATGGATGATGCCCAACTTGGACACCCAAGCCTCTTGCAGAGGCTTAGCATAGCAATGCAGAAGCTTGATGGTGAATTCCAGGAAGTCAGGCGTAGGAACTAAAAATAAGATCAAGTCAAACCTTGATTTTAGTTTGAGCATCCATTTGGCACCCCCTAAAGTATAGCACTTTTCATTTAGGTACCATTATATGGTTTTACATTCTGAACTCAACCTATTCAGGAGTGAAAGCGTCCACCCTAAAGCTCATTCCTCTCTCTTTAAAGTTTGCTTAGTGTTCATGAAGGAATCTGGCAACCAAAATTACCTGGTCTGACAAAGGCTACAGAATAATGGAATATCCAGAGACATATTTGGTTTCAGCAGTGAGATCTAATGACAGCGACGAATTTCCAGTGTATCAACAGCAAGTCTTGCAGGAAGAAAAAGAATAGAAAAAAAGGTGGCTCAAAGTCATTCTGGGAAAAGAACAGTGAAAATACAGACAGGAAAGATGAGCTGTGAGCAGCTAAGAATAGTCAGCTGGTAAAGGACCAGCAAAGAAATGATATTCCAGGACTGCGAGAGACACCGACAGCACTGGCAAAGATACCAATGGCAGAAGGAGTTCTTACAGATGACTTTCCAGAGGTAGAAGAGGCATGATTTGTGAGGTGAGACAATATCTTTTATTGGACTAGCTTTATAGTAGAGAAAGATGTTAGGCAAAATTTGGGCTCAAACTGTCCTTCCTCAGGCCTGGAAAAGAAACAGATATATATTTTAAGCTAAATACCAGCCAGAACAATTGCTTTCCAGAGAGAAGCAGCAAAGAGGATGACACAGCCAGCAACTGTGTTTCATCCAGGCAGAATTCAGTGGTTGACATGGAAAGTCTGAGGAGTAGAAAATGCTGCTTGTGAGACAAAGGCTGCCTTTGAGCACTTATCAACCTGAAGACTAGAAAAAAAGTAAGAGCAGACTGAAAGCAACAGTACTAGCATGAGCCAGAATAGGTGAGCTTCCACCACCACCCACAACCGAACAAGTGGAGCCAGATATTGTACCTGGATCCCTGAGCAGTACAGACTCCAAATGGCTGCCTCACATTAGGAACCTGGATGACACAGACACATTTTAATAGATTTTAAATGACATGAGAATTGAACAGGGTGGGACAACAGAACGTGTCAGGTCCTGGCCATGTTACTAATAGGGAAGGTCACCACATTGCAATTGGGAGCCTCAATTGCAGCACATGTAGCTACACCTGAGTTAGCTTGAATATAGATAGCAAAGTAATGAAACCATGCCAGCCCAGGCCTCAACATGAACTGTACATAGTTACACAGGACCCAGGGTACATACTTGGCAGATGAAGCCATAGCATGCTGCTGTGGCTTCATTGCAAGTGGTATCAGAGCCAACTAGATTAATTCTAGTTTGGAGATATCAACCTCTGCCCCAATCACACCTCTGCTCACAGTATAGCTGTTCCCTTAGCTGCTTTCACACATATTGCCACTAGGCACTATAAGCAATGTCAACAAGCATTACTATAAAGGTATCACTGACACCTGAAGCACAGGAGGGCAGCTTTGGCCACGGACAGCATTAGCAAATGCAGGGTTCAGTGTGAAAACAGTGCTGAGTATGCACAGGAGAAAAATTACGTACTGAGGTAGGGAGGGGAATGGAATTATGAAAACCAGAGACATAACAACACAGCCAGACATCCAGGGCAGCTTCAACATATGGGAGCAATAGCAACCTTTGGCTCCTGCCATGCCACCACTGCAATTGCGTGGCCATGACAGCAGTGCTTTCCACTATAGGTGTGCAAGGCAGGCAGTATTCAATTCGGATTTGGCCTGATTCAGGGTACAGTGATTCAATTTGCTGATTCGGATCACTGTCCCAATTCGATTCGGCTGAATCTGAATCTGAAGATTCGATTCTGGTTTGAAGAATCAGTGATTTGGCCATTGACGCAGCTTTATATGTTTTTTCTACATACCTCAAGGTACCAGGCGCGACTCATGAAGCATGAGATGGTGGGGCGGATGAGGTGTCCAGGGGAGGGTGGGGGAGGGCGGTCCCCATGCTCTCGGTGGTGGACCTGAAAGTGGACCAGCACAGTATGGTGATGTAGCAGGTTGT